CAGGAAGGGCAGCTTCTGTCTCCAGGTCCCCAGGAAGGGCAGCTTCTGTCTCCAGGCCCCCAGGAAGGGCAGCTTCTGTCTCTAGCCAGATCCTGGTAACTCCCCAGGAGCTTACTAAGGAACTTGGACATGCAGCCTCTTTCTGGAACCAGGACAGCCATCGCACATTCAGCTGATTCCCTCCATCCCCAGAGCCCAGAAAGCCTTCTGAGCTGCCAAGAGTGCAAATCTTGGTTAGCCCTGTGCTTCCCACAAAATACATACTCCCTGGGAGCAATTCTTTAGATAAGCCATGCACCCAGTTCCCTCATCATTGGCCTCTGATAGTCTATGTCCCTCGTCCCACCCGCAATCCCCAATTCTGTTCTGCTCTTTGCTGTCTCTGCCTCTGAGGCAATTCTTCAGAGGACATTCCATTCCTTGGGTCTCCTCAGTAGTCTTGTTGCATGGTTTACAAACTCCCTACCTCCTACACATTGTAGGAGATAAAAAGTAAGATCTTGTCCTCACCTATTGCAAGGTTAATGGCTGAGACCCTGATAAGAAAACACAGATTAGCCAGAGAAGAGAAAGCATACATATTTATTTAGTATAAATTTTGTGTGATACAGGAGCTTTTAGGATAAAAATCCAAAGACCCAGGGAAAACTATATAGAGAGAGATAGTGTCTGGCTCTGTCTCCCAGGCTAGAGTGCCGTGGTGCAATCCTGGCTCACTACAACTTCCGCTTCCAGGGATCAAATCATCCTCCCACCTCAGCCTTCCGAGTAGCGGAGACTACAGACATGCACCACCTCACCTGGCTAATTTATATATGTATATTTGGTAGAGGCAGGGTGAAATCCTGAGCTCAGGCAATCCACCCTGCATCAGCCTCCCAAAGCATTGGCATTACAGGCGTGAGCCACCATGACCAGCCAGAAAACTATTTTTGTGGGTGGTCACGCGGAAGTGTGATTGGAGGACAACAGGGCATGAACTAATGTGAATAAAGTTGGGGGGAGGGAACTTAGCAAGGGTTGCGTGTTAAGATTCTTCTCTGTGTCTGTGTCTTCAGAGACAAAAATGTTCTTTCTCTCTGTAGATAGGGAGGGCACTTCTTGAATGAAGGTCCTAGGACCTGCTTCAGGGGAAGGCTAGAGAAATTTTCCCAGGTTTCTTGACTTGTTTCAGGGAGCAGAGTGATCAGAGGACGCTTCCTGATGCCTGTGCATCTCCTGAGCTCTTGCTGATGAGTGGCAGGTGGAAAGGCTACCTTGAGCAGAAGAAGAAGGGAGCAGGCGTTCCTAGCAGGAAAGTGGGGTTTGGAACCACCCTGGCAACATGTTTCAGGGGAGAAGGCTGAGGGAAAGGTGAGAGCAGCTTTTCTCCTTCTGCTGTTTATTTTTTTAATGTCAAAATGCTGCATTTTGGGGTAGTGTGTGCTGAACCCCATCAGAGTCTCCCCTTCTGCGTGCATAACGTGTTGGACACACTGGCATCCCGGTTCCACGATTAACCTCCCCAGCCATCCCGATTCCACAGGTCACTTCCAGAACCACTATCTGCCTGTCATCACTCAAGACGCCCAACTCAAGCGGCTCTTCCTGCAATTCCATCTCTCAGTGATCCCCGTGGGACCTGCCATCTGAACCCATGGAAATGCCAGTCCCTGACTCTCCCACTTCCGTTCTATGAATACCTTCTTCAACTTTCTATTTAATTAATTATTTATTTATTTTGAGACAGAGTCTTGCTCTGTCGCCAGGCACCAGGCTGGAGTGCAGCAGCACGATCTCGGCTCACTGCAACCTCTGCCTCCTGGGTTCAAGCAATTCTCCTGCCTCAGCCTCCTGAGTAGCTGGGACTACAGGCGTGTGCCACCACGCCCAGCTAATTTTTTTTAATTGCATTTTAGGTTTTGGGGTACATGTGAAGAACATGCAAGCTTGTTGCATAGGTACACACGTGGCAGTGTGACTTGCTGCCTTCCTCCCCTTCACCTATATCTGGCATTTCTCCCCATGCTATCTCTCCCCAACTCCCCACCCCGCACTGTCCCTCCCCTATTTCCCCCCAACTGACCCCAGTGTGTGATGCTCCCCTCCCTGTGTCCATGTGTTCTCATTGTTCAATAGCCGCCTATGAGTGAGCTAATTTTTGTATTTTTTAGTAGAGATGGGGTTTCACCATGTTGGGCAGGATAGTCTTGATCTCTTGACCTCGTGATCCGCCCACCTTGGCCTCCCAAAGTGCTGGGATCACAAGCATATTTAATTATTTTCTAAGGTGGAAAACTGTGTTTCTAGTTCAACAAGGCTATCTGCCCATATGTGGAATTTGCATCTCCTCTGCACCTCTATTATTTATTTTACTTGATTATTTCTCTTTTTTTTCTTTGAGTCAGAATCTCACTCTGTCACCCAGGCTGGAGTGAGGTGGTGCGATCTCGGCTCACTGCAACCTTGAACTTCTGGGTTCAAACCATTATTCCACCTCAGCTAAAAAGAATTCTCACACCAAAGTGGCATATTGGAGATGACATACTTTGATGCCTTTCAGAGTATTTAGGGAGGTATAACACACACACACACACACACACACACACACACACACACATTTCATATAATTTCATAAAAAACAAATTTATGCAATTATATTTGTCATTATATTCATTGATGCAGAGACACATCCATCTTTTGAGACTTAAATAAGTAACCTAGAAAAGAAGTCAGAAAATTTTGTGCAAAAAGCCAAATCTGACTCACAGCTTGTTTGTGTAAATAAAGTTTTATTTAAACACAGTCATACCTACATGTTTATATATTGTGCATGACTGCTTTTGCAGTACAACGATGGAGTTATATAGTTGCAACAGAGACTGAATGGCCCACAAAGCCAAAAGCATTTACTATTTGGCCCTTTGCTAAAAGCATTTGCCAATCCCTGAACTAGAAGATTAAATGGAAGTGGTATCTGAAACTCTAAGCAACAATACGTAAATAAAACCATGGAGGAAAAGACAAGAACCTTGAATGACACATTTGGGAGAATAGTGATGTGATACTGATACACCACAGTGTGCCTAATAATGGAACACATCCAGGAGAAAGAATGATGAAACAAGAAATAGAGTAAAAACTCCCTGAGGCCAAAACACTTAAATAACTATTGTTCCTAGCATATGCTCTCGAATCCTTACCAGAGAAGTAATATACAAATGGACGATGACTAGACCATATATAAAGACAGAGGTCTAACCTATAAGCTGCAGTAACTCATACATACATGTTATATGTTACATGTAACACATACATGTCATGCATGTCATATGTCACATATACATGTCATACATGTCATGTTACATACAACATATTTTATATTTATGTTACATATATTTATACATGTTATATGTTATATATACTATAATAAGTTATAATTACATAACATTAAAATATAGATTACATTTATATATAATATTTTTACATAATATATATTATATATTTTTATATAAAATATATTTTACATATAATATTTTATCTATATAATATATATTATATTATATTATTATTTTGTATTATATATGTATAATTTGTATACATATAAACTGCAATATATATGTCGCAGTTTAATCTAGACTAAACAAATTTATAAAGACAGCAAGAACAATGGTCACCACCCAAATGCCCATCATGGATAGACTGGAGAAAGAAAATGTGGTAAATACACATTGTGAAAACTATGCACTCGTGAAAAGGAACGAGATCATGTCCTTTGCAGGGACATGGATGGAGCTGGAAGCCATTATCCTCAGCAAATAACACAGGAACAGAAAACCAAATACCACATGTTCTCACTGATAAGTGGGAGGTGAAGAATGAGAACACATGGTCACAGGGAGGGGAGCGTCACACACTGGACCCGTTTGCGGGGGCAGGAGGTGGGAGACTATCAGAAAAAAGAGCTAATACGTGCTGGGCTTCATACCTAGGTGATTAATTGATCTGGGCGGCAAACCAGCATGGCACACCTTTACAAATGTAACAAACCTGCACACGCTGTACATGTACCCTGCAGCTTGAAATGAAAATTTAATTGACATTAAAAGAATCTGCTGGGTACTGTGGCTCACGCCTGTAATCCCAGCACTTTAGGAGGCCAAGGTGGGTGGATTACGTGAGGCTAGGAGTTCGAGACCAGCCTGACCAACATAGAGAAACCCCGGCAAAAATAGCCGGGCATGGTGGTGCATGTCTGTAATCCCAGCCACTCAGGAGGCTGACGCAGGAGAATCACTTGAACCCGGGAGGTGGAGGTTGCAGTGAGCTGAGATCGGGCCATTGCACTGCAGCCTACACTACAAGAGCGAAACTCCATCAAAAAAAACAACAAAAGCATTTACTATCTTGATAATCTGATCATAAAGTTGAAAAGTTGTACATCAAACCATCATAAGTTGGAAACCATCTGTATATATGTATGTATACACACTTTCATTACTAAAATATTGCAGTTGGCTGGGTGTGGTGGCTCACGCCTATAATCCTAGCACTTTGGAAGGCCGAGGTGGGTGGATCATCTGAGGTCGGGAGTTCAAGTCCAGCCTGACCTACATGGAGAAACACTGTTTCTACTAAAAATACCAAAAAAAAAAAAAAAAAAATAGCCAGGCATGGTGGCAGGTGCCTGTAATTCCAGCTACTAGGGACACAGGCAAAAGAATTGCTTGAACCCAGGAGGCAGAGGTTACAGGGAGCCAAGATCACACCACTGCACTGCAGCTGGGTGACAGAGCAAAACTCCGTCTAATAAAAAATTATGTATACGTAATACATATTTCATGTATTTTATATATTTACTTTATATATATTATATACTTATTTACCTATTTTATACATGTATAAATGTATATATACATATATGCATAACATGTTCATGTCATGAGTGTTATGTCACATATAACATACATGTCATGTTATATGTATTGCATATACATGTCATACATGTTATGTGCACCACATATACACGTCATACATGTTCTATGCATCACATGAATGTCATACATGGTATGTGTAGCATGTCACAGATGTCACACGTTATATGTCACACAAAACATGCCTGTCATACATGTATGCCATGTCACATATGACGTGATACATGTATGACATATATTGTGTGTCGTGTGTGTTATGTGTGACATGGCATGTACACATATGCCACATATACATGTATGTTACGTGTCACATATACATGCATGTCACTTAGCATATGACATGTTTGTCCTGTGTGTCATATGTTACATATAACATTCATGCCATACATGTTATTTGTTGCATGTGTGTCATGCATATTATATGTTGCATGTAGCATATTTTATATTTTATGTTGCATATAACATATATTTTGTATATAACATATAACATTTTATACATGTTATATGTTATATATACTATAATATATTATAATTATATAACATTAAAATATAGATTACATTTTATATATAATATTTTTACATGACTTTCTAGGCACTCAGCTGGGAGCAGGGAAACCTAAAACAGGTATAGCTACCGTTTCACCTTGAGCTCCTCCCAGATAAATATCTCAGCTGCACACAGGCTCCACGGTGGGCACCCAGGCTTGAACCCGGGAGGCGGAAGTTGGAGGTTGCAGTGAGCCGAGATCGCACCACTGCCCTCCAGCCTGGGCGACATAGCAAGACTCTGTCTCAAGAAGAAACAGACAAAAGGAGTTCTCAGAGCTCAGCACTTGGCATGGCGAAGATTTTAGAGAATGCTTGATAAACATGACGAGTGGTCAATTCATGATTCTCTGAGTGAAATGACCCCATTTCCTTCCCTAATTAGGGCAACGTGTTGGGTTAGGTCCCTGTACTGGGTTGAACCGTGCTCACCCCCCGCCCCCACAAAAGAACCGTGCTCACCCCCAACCCCCCTCCCAGAACCTCAGAGTGTGTCCTTATTTGTAAGTAGGGTCTTTGTGCATGTGATATAATGAAGGATCTCAACATGTGATCATCTTGCATTTAACTAGGGTCCTAAATCCACTCATAGGCATCCTTCTAGGAGACAGAGACACACAGGAGAAGGCCACGTGGAGACGGAGACTGAGGCAGAGGCTGGAGTGATGGAGCCGTAAGGCCAGGGATGCTGGAGCCCCCAGGAGCTGGAGAGGCAGGAAGCATCCTCCACTAGACCCTCCAGAGGGAACTGGATACAACTGAAGTGGATTGAACTATGGTACTTCCCAAGATATATTCATATTCTAACCCAAGAACCTGTGAATGGAGGGGGAGACTGCAGTGATAGGGCTGCAAGCCCAGGGATGCTGGAGCCCCCAGAAGCTGGAGAGGCAGGAAGCATCCTCCCCTAGACCCTCCCGAGGGAACCAAACACAATTGCAAAGGTTTGAATGATGATCCCCAAAAGATATATCCATGTCCTAATGCCCAGAACCTGCGAACTGGACCTGATTTGAAAATAAGGTGTTTGCAGATGTAATTAGTTAAGGATGTGGAGATGAGGCCACCCTGGAGTAGGATGGGCCTCTTCTGTCTCTTAGAGGGACAGGTGCACCCTACTGTTTAACTCTCTACCTAATTGCATTGCCAAGTTCTGGAAGGCATCTCACTGTAGCCCCTTACAAATGCTGACTATACACACGTTTATTCTGCAATAAACTTTAATTTAGAAAAAAAAAAACTCTTTATCTGTCTATCAGACAGGTGTCTATGTGCCACATTTTCTTTATCTGTCTATCAGGCAGGTGACCTTGTAAGAGACAGAAGAGTAGACGCAGCAAGCCCTGTAGCAACCAGCCCAAAATGTCCAGGACTTGATCGATAACTATGAGCTTCCCTAATTCTTCCCCTACTTCCAACTCAGGACCAAGCAGAGAAACCCAAATGTGCCCCCTAAACAGTCACAAAGGATGTCTCGCTTCTAGTGAGCCTCCAACTGCCTCCAATCAGAACACACCTTAGTTTTCCCTTTTTCCGCCTATAAAGCTTCCCCATGGCTCTGCTGGCCTTTGAATCTCTGCCAGACATGAGTGATGATGGCTGATTCCTTTGCTGCAGTAAGCTCTGAATAAAAACCTTGCTTGTTTTCATGTGGGTGGTCTTCATTTATTTCCACACCCTCATCTCTAAATTCATCATTACCTGATCACTGTTGCCTGCCTCGGCAGTACCTGCTGCACGCCAGCCAATGCTAATCAATTTTAGTTCCCCAATATCTGCTATCTTTTGCCAATGATCCAAGGCACTGGGGCATCCTCCTGCTAGAAACTCCAAGCAGGAACCCCACCTTCCTGCTAAGAACTCCTACTCTCTTCTTCTTTTGCTCAAGGTAACTTTTCCACTTGTCACTCATTGGCAAGGGCTCAGCAGGTGCACAGGCATCAGGAAGCTTCCTCTGATCACTCTGTTGCCTTAAGACCACATCGAAGTCATCTGTCCCCATGCAACCTGTCCCAGGGATAGCCAATGCCCACTAACTTCTCAGCCCTTTCTTCTAGTATGAAGCTCATGAAAGTTGAATCCATCCTGGGCTTCACTGGACTGACAATGACAAGCACAGTGCCAAGAATATCCTGGCTCATCAGAATGCACTTACAGATGAATTACTCTGCAAATGTGCAAGGTTCCTTTTTGGTTACCAAAGTGATGATTCTGCCATGAATCTGTGTAACGTGGAGTTTCACAAAGGGGGTTGCACAAATAGGAGAGGCTACCTATGATTTGTACACTTTCTGTTTACCCCTGTAAAGAGAGGAGCTTTGCTATGTCAGTTGGAACTTTGCTTCTGGGTTGAAAATCCTTGATTTATGGATTGGGATGATGTAGTCATCTTTGTCCATTTGTTTGTGTCTATTAAGGACAGAGGTGCAAGTTCATTTTGCTCAAAGCCAAAGTCCTTTTTCTTCTCTTAGTCCATTTAGGCTGCTATAAGAAAACACCTAAGACTGGATGGCTTATCAGTAACACATTTGTCATGCACAGCAGCTCTGGAGGCTGGAGATCCAAGATCAAGGCGTAGCAGATTCTATGTCTGGTAAGAACTCATTTCCTGGTTCATAGACGGTGCCTTCTCGCTGTGTCTTCACATGGTGGAAGGGGCGAGGGAGCTCTCTAGGGTCTCTTTTATAAGGGCCGTCATCTCATTCATGAGGCTCCACCCTCACAAACTCATCACTTCCCAAAGGCCCCACCTCATAAAACCATCACCTGGAATGGAAGGATTTCAACACATGCATTTTGTGAAGACACAGACCTTCAGTCTGTAACACACCTTGTAGAAGTTTTTTTTCCCTTTTACATCTCAATTAGGAATTGAATAGCTATCTACTGTAAACTGGTATACAAAACATACAAACACACACACAGTTATTTCGTCATTTAAAAAATGGTCTTATAGCAGATACGTGTCTGTTTGCCTGAAAACCATGTGTACATTGCTGGTTCTTATGGATTTTTACAAAATAGCAGCAGAGAGGACAGAAGTGACAGATGTTATTTCCCAGTATTCCAAATATTCTTCTTCTCTGTGTTCTTTTCCCACTATGTTTTAGATGAATGCATTAAAAATGCTTATTATTTTAAAAAATAGCTATGTGCAGTGCACCCCTGTAATTCCAGCTACTCTGGAAGCTGGGGCTGGAGGATTGCTTGAGCCCAGGTGTTTGAATCCAGCTTGGTCAACATAGCAAGATCCGGTCTCTACATGAATAAATAAATAAATAAATAAATAAATAAAATAAAATACACACTGCATGAAAGAGCAAGAACAAAGGTAAACCTTTCCATCTCTTTACATTCCTGTAACTTAAGTTATAACAACATATGTCATTTCACTGGAAAAACGTTTAGTGCATCTGTTAACATATAATTTTAACATAAAAGACATTATATTACAGATACTCTTTGGAACTACTTTGCTATCATCTTTTCATTTGATCATGTAAATAAATACCTTGTCCTTTTTCACAGCTATATAATATGCTGTTGTATATATTGATTCTAGGTGATTTGTCCAATCTCTCACTGACACATATTCACATTATTTTTCTTTACTATAATGTTATCAACAACATTACAATAAATATAATTGCACCCACAACTGAAAGTATTTCCTTAGATTACATTCCTAAATATGCAATGTGCTTAGTCCAAGGCTGCACATTCAGAATGCTGGCCTTAGTGTTGCCTGCAACAGATCCCGATTTACACCATAGTGAGTCCCTGAAACTGCCTTCATTTTCATGTTCACATCCACGTTGGTCGTTGGGAAAACAAGGTTGAGAGGCTTTGTGGAATTCTTGGACTAGGTGATTCTTAACCCTGAATGAATTACTACAGAAGCCATGACATTGTACTTTCCCTCTTCCCCATGTGTGTCTGAAATACACAGATACATGGCTGTAAATTATATGAGCCTGACATTTTACAACTTAAGGTCCTCTGTTCATTTTAAAGGTTGGCATGCCTAAGACGTTGAGTTTGAGACTGCCTTTACAATTTTTTTTTGAGCTGTAAAAACTTCTTCTAAATAGAAACCCAAAGTCTAGTATTTTATGAGTGGATATATATATATATATCAGTGACTTCCCTAGGCATGAAAAGAGGACGTAATTGCATGTAATTGTGTCTCTCCATGGGGGAAGAAGACGTCTGGCTTCTCCCTGACTTCTGACACACTATTAACTGCCCCTTCTTGAGCAACTACTGTTGAGTCCTATACAGCAGACTTCCCATTGAACGAGGATGTCTAACACGTTATAAATGGCTGCATAGGTAAAGCCACATTTAAAAAAAGCCTGTAAGTAAAACAAAAATATTATTCACACAAAACACAAGTGTGAATAAGAAAGAATAAAGATTTGTTTTTCCAAGTGTCCCATCCACTGAGATCCTACCTTCTGGGTGGTTAGAATAGCAATGGGCTCCATAAGCAGTCCCTATAGAGCATGTAAACTCATAGGGGTCTTCTGTTTTTTCCCACACAGTAAACCAGTGTTCAACTCACAGCTTTAAAATAAGGTCTGTAATGAGAAAATTACAAAGAAGCAAAATGAATGTCTTTGATTCACATAGAGGGTGACTGCAGGACGGTTTTTCTCTGAGATCGCCCCTGCTTAAGGCCTTGGGAACCCACCGCTTGCACCAGGGTGTCCTGGATGAGAGACGTGGAGTCAAAAGAGATTATTTTGGAGCTTTAAGATTTGATGACTGCCCTGCTGAGTTTCAGACTGGCATGGGGCCTGTACCTCCTTTCTTTTGGCAGATTTCTCCCTCTTGAAATGGGAGTATTTACCCAATGCCTATACTCCCATTTTATCTTGGAAGTAACTAACTTGTTTTTGATTTTACAAACTCATAGGCAGATGGAAATTGCCTTCTTTCATATGAGACTATGGACTGTGGACTTTTGAATTAATACTGGAATGAGTTAAGACTTTGGGGGACTCTTGGTAAGACATGATTGTATTTTGCAGTGTGAGAAGAACATGATATTTGGAGAGGCCAGGGATGGAATGATGTGATTTGAACCTGTGTCCCCACCCAAATCTCGTGTTGAATTGTAATCCTCAATGTTGGAGGTGGGGCCTGGTGGAAAGTGATTGAATCGTGGAGGTGGTTTCTAATGGTTTAGCACCATCCTTCTAGTGCTGTTCTAGTGATAGAGTGCTCGTGAAGTCTTGCAGTTTAAAAGTATATGGCATCTCCCTGCCTCTCTCTTCCTCTTGCTCCAGCCATGTAAGACACCTGCTTCCCCTTCTGCCATGATTTTAAGTTTTCTGAGGCCTCCCGAGAAGCAAAAGCCACCATGCTTCCTGTATACCCTGCAGAACCATGAGCCAATTAAACCTATTTGCTTTATAATTTAGCCAGTCTCAGATATTTATTTATAATGGTATGAGAACAGGCTAATACATTTCCCTTGGATAAGACCTCCAGTCATCCATTAACGAACACTGAGATTGATTTCATATCTTCGCTATTGTGAATGGTGCTGTGATAAACACAGGTGTGTGGGGATCTTTCTGATATGATTTCTTTTCCTTTGGGTAAACACTCAGTAGTGAGGTTGCTGGATCATATGATAATAGAGCTTCATGTACTATTTTAGTTCTCTGTTTCAAGGTGAAACACTGGTACCTGTATGACAGCTATGAAAGCACAAAGTTCACAAAGGTATAAATATGTGAAAAGTATTCCCCTCTCCCCTTCTAGAAGTGGTCAAATGGGAGGTCATGGAAATCTCTTTTGCTTTTATTTTTTGGGGATGGAGTTTCTCTCTTGTTGCCCAGGCTGGAGTGCAGTGGCGTGATCTTGGTTCACGGCAATCTCTGCCTCTCGGGTTCAAGCAATTCTACTGCCTCAGCCTCCTGAGTAGTTGGGATTACAGGCACCCACCACCACACCCAGCTAAATTTTTTTTCTATTTTTAGTAGAGTCAGGGCTTCACCATGTTGACCAGGGATTACTGGTCGAACTCCTGACCTCAGGTGATTCATCTGCCTCGGCCTCCCAAAGTGCTGGTATTACAAGCATGAGCCACCGCACCCAGGCAGTTTTTCATTCTTGAATGATAATCTCTGAAATTTTACACAAGATATCTGTATTTATTTGCCAATCTATTTTTAAGCAGGATGTTTTGACTTTCAAATCTGAAATATAAGACATTCATTTCCCATTCATCTCCCTCTTCATCTTCCTTCTCCAAATAGTTAATTGTATATCTTGTTTTCAACTATTCCAGTTACATCTATTGATTTTGCAAAAGATACCTAAGCTTATTTTTCATGTTCCACAAGTTTTATACTGTTTTCAGCAAAACACCACGGAGTAGAGTGGAAAATTTCAGTAAATTTCAATCACAGTGGAGTCTTCAGATGCCAATAATAATTTCATCAGCATAGTCTCTCACCTGGCCAACAAATGTTTCATATTATATATTTTGCCTTTACTGGCTCTCATTTTAAATTGTATTTTGTTCAGCACCAAAATAATCTTGGTGTTTTAATGTCAAATGTCTTCAATTAGACTTCAAAGCTGGTTCCATTCAATCAAACCTACTAATCACACCAAACATCTGTTCCTTTCCTGATTTATTCAGTCTCTAACCCCACAAAACACTCACAGAAACTTCATGCTTCCCCCCCCCAAAAAAAAGACTTCCTTTAACTCTTTTCAGAAAAATAAAATAAAAAGCTACACCCTAACATCAGGGGTTCTGACAAAAACTTTGCTTCTTCAACTTTTATTTTATACCATTCGACATCCACTTTGGAAGATTGAAAGAAAAAGAAATGAATCAAATTTGCACTGCTTTCTTTGTTTTATTTTTGCTTTTTTTTAAGTGTGAACCTTATGGCTTTGAAACCACTATTTCCGGTGGGAAAACAGAAGCAAAATAAAAAGAATAATAAAACGGAAAAATGTCTCTTCCAGAAAAAACACTGTTTGTGGTATGTGTGTGACTGTCTGTGTGTGTGACTGTGTGTGTGTGTTTACCAGGATCCCACGTTTTGTAACCCGCGGAAGACGCCAGCAATTTCTGCTTGGAGCTGCTTTCCACTGTGCCCTCTACAGACACTGAACACTCTCTGCTCCTTTTCTCCCCTATGAATGCTCGTCACACCTGGGGCTGGGTTGAGAGTCTTTATTTTTGTTCCCTCCTGATAGCCTCAGACTATCACAGATGCTGGGAGACTTTGATCTGCTGAATCCTGTTCCTCCCAGGAAGCCACTGGGGTCTGCATAAACACCCCTATGACCTCCGCAGCTCCTGTCCCACTGAGCTGTCCATGAGGCGTCCAGGGGGTCAGTGGGTCAGCTCCCCTGTGTGCATGGTGTGGGGGAGGGGAGCCAGACATCCCCTTCAGTCCCCTTTAGCTCTTAGTGAGCTCTGTAGCTACAACTAGAAACCAAGTTGATGCTAGGCAGATTAACAAAGGAAAATATGGACCATGGGAATCTTGCCAAGAGTGATGTTCAAAGAGGTGACCAAACCAAGATGCTTTTATACTTTTCAGACAAAGAATGACAAATTTGAGAATAAATGAAAAACAAAGGGGATCTGGCTAGGGACAGTGAATTTCTGGGAGTCACAAGGAGATATATAGGAGGGGTTAAACTAGTGGAAAACTGTTACTTTGGGAAGTGCATTTGTTGAGGTCCACTGCAGGTCGCAAAACCCAGTCTCTGGTGATGAGAGCTATTTTCTCACGCTGGTATGGAGAGGAGTCCCCTCCCAGAAGAATCTTTATGGTTGCTGCCTGCAGGAAGAGACTGGTTGGCTAGCCCTTTCTGAAACTACAATTTCTCCAGTGTTTTTGACTCAAAATACGCAAGATACCAATCCGGCATATTTTGGGAAGGCATGTCCTTCACTCCTTCAACAGCCCAAATAGGCAATCATATCCTAGGGTATGTGTGAGCTACCCTGGTGATGTCTACAAATCTCAATGTCTAGAAGAAATGGGAACTGTCTGCAGACTTTAATGTAAAAGAAGAGGTGGGCAGGAGAGAGAGAGAGACAGAGAGAGAGAGAGACAGACAGAAAAAGAGAGAGAGAATAAGAAAAATGAGAGACAGGTAGAAGAGAGAGGGAAAACAGGAAGGAGAGAGAGGAAGAGAAGAGAGAAAGAGAAGGAGAAGAAAAAAGGAGAAGAAAGGAGGAAGAGGAGGAGATGGGGAAGAAAAGGAGGAGAGAGATAGGAGAAAGAAAGAGTAAGAAAGACAGAAAGGAGAGAGAGGAGAATATGAGAAACGCAGTGTGAAACAGAGCGAGAAGAGAGAGGGTAGGAAGGAGAGAGAGAGAGAGAGAGAGAGAGAGAGAGAGAGAGAGAGAGAGACCGACCAAGGGGAAAAGAGAAGAAGAAGAGAGAGAGAAGAAACAAAGTAAGGAGAGACAAGGAAGGAAGACAGGTAGAGAAAAGAGAGAGACAAAGGAAGCGGGGGGAAGGAAGAGGGGGTCAAAGTGTATAGAGAGAGAGAGAGAGAGAGAAGGAAAGAGCGACAGAGAAAGAAAAGGAGAGAGAGAGAGAGAGCTCACACAAGCACCTGGGGTAGCTATACTTAAAAAGCCAACAGGTCCAGGACTAGAGGCAGAAAACAAATCCCCATACTCTATTAGGTACACGTATTTTTCTCTTCCCTAAAACGTTATTATTTTTCTCACCCCTGACTCATAGGAATGTCAATGAAAAGAGTCAAACTCTGTAAAATATTTGAAGAGATTTATTTTGAACAAATATCGTTACAGGAAAGGGGTCCAGGAAACAGACCCCAAAAGAGGATTCTTAGATCTGTCACAAGAAATAATTCAGGGCAAGTCCACAGAGTAAAGTGAAAGCAAGTTTATTAGGAAAGTAAAGGAACAAAAGAACAGCTACGCCCATAGACAGAGCAGCCCTGAGGGCGGCTGGTTGACCATTTTTATGTTATTTCTTGTTGATATGCTAAACAAGGGGTTGATTATTCCAATCTCCTCTTTTTAGACCGTATAGCGTAATTACCTGATGTTGCCAAGGCATTTGCAAAGTGTCATGGCGCTGGTGAGTGTGTAGCAGGGAGGATGATCAGACATCACTCTACTCGCCATCTTGAGTATCTCAGTCTCATTCTACCCCCAAGGCACCACAGAAACTAGAATCCCTCCTCCCCCAGGTGGGTCCTAGACACGAGACCCCCTTTTCTCCAAAGCCAGGCGTAAAACCTAAAAATATGACTCAAATTCCCTCCACCCGCTTTTCCTTGTAAAAACTGGCCATGAAGAAATGATCTGAGGGCCAGGCACACTGGCTTATGCCTGTAATTCCTGCACTTTGGGAGGCTGGGGTAGGAGGATCCCTTGAGTCCACGAGTTTGAGACCAACATGGGACATTTCCTGTTTCTTCCATGTAAAATACAAACTTTCTGTTCCTCCCCAGTGCAGGACGCACTTCCTATGTCTCCCCTGTGAAGGACACACTTCCTGTCATTCGCCTAAGAGAGATACACTTCCTGTTCTCCCCTGTGCAGAACACACTTTCTGTTTCTCTTCTGTAAAAAACCACATTTCTTCTTTTTTCCCTATGCAGCACACATTTCCTGTTTCTTGTCTGTGCAGGACGCGCTTCTTGTGACTCCCTTGTGCAGGAGAAATTTCCTGGTTTATCCTCTGTGCAGGCACTTCCTGTTCCTGCCCTGTGCAAGACACACGTCCTATGTCTCCCCTTGCAGGACACACTTCCTATTCCTCCCCTGTGGGACATACACTTTCTGATATTTCCCTGCGCAGGACAGACTTCTTGTAACTCTCCTGAGATAGGCACACTTCCTGTTCTTCCCCTATACAAGACACACTTCTTGTGTCTTTCCTTTGAAGGACGCACTTCCTGTTACTCTCCTGAGAGAGACACAATTCTTGTTCCCGCCTTGTACAGGACACACTTCTGTGTCTCCCCTGTGAAGGATACACTTTCTGTTCCTCCTCTGTGCAGAACTCATTTTTATTTCTCTTCTGTGAAGGACACACTTCCTGTTTCTTCTCTGTGCAGGACACACTTCCTGTTACTCTCCTTAGACAGACACACTTCTTGTGTCTCTCCTGTGCAGGATACACGTCCTATTTCTCCCCTGTGAAGGACACACTTTCTGTTTATCCTTTGTGCAGGACACACTTCCTGATCCTCCCCTGTACAGGACACACATCCTATGTCTACCTATTGCAGGACACACTACTGGTGTCTCCCCTGTGCATAGTACACTTCCTGTTATTCTCCTGAGAGACACACTTCCTGTTCCTTCCCTGCACAGGACACACTTCCTGTGTCTCCCCTTGCAGAACACACTATCTGTTCCTTCTCTGAGGAGCATACAGTTTCTGTTCTTTCACTGTGCAGTTCAGACTTCTTGTTATTCTCCTGAGACAGACACACTTCCTGTTTTGTCCCTGTGCGGGACACATTTCCTCTGTCTTACCTGTGAAGGATGTATTTCCTGTTACTCTCCTGAGAGAGACACAATTCTTGTTCCTGCCTTGTGCAGGACACACTTCCTGTTAATCTCCTTAGACACACTTCCTTTGTCTTTCCTGTGCAGGACACACTTCATGTTTCTCCCCTATGAAAGACACATCTGTTTATCCTCTGTGCAAGAAACACTTTCTGTTCCTCCCCTGTGCAGAACCCACGCCCTGTATCTCCCCTGTGCATAACCCAGTTCCTGTTTCTCCACTATGCAGCACACACTTGCTGTTTCTTCTCTGTGCAATACACACGTCCTGTGTGTCTCCTTTGCAGGACACATTTTCTGCCCTGTCCAATACACACTTTCTGTTTCTATCCTGTGCATGACACACCTCCTGTTACATTCCTGAGATAGCCACACTTCCTGCTCTTCCCCCGTGCAAGAAACACTTCCAGTGTTTCCCCTGTGCATGACATACTTTCTGTTACTGTCCTGTACAGAACACACTTCCTGTATCTCCCTTGTGCATGACAAACTTTCTGTTACTCTCCTCAGAGAGACACTTTTCCTGTACTTCCCTATGCAGGACACATCCCCCGTTTGCCTTGTATGATGAACACACTTCCTGATTTTTCTCTGTGAAAGGCACACTTCCTGTTTCTCCCCTGTGAAGAGCACACTTCCTGTGTTTCCCCTTGCAGGACACGCTTCTTGTTTCTATCCCCCACAGCACACACTTTCTGTTTCTGTCGTGTGCAAGACATACTTGTTACTCTCCTGAGACAGACACCCATCCGGCTCTTCCCCTGTGCATGACGCACTTCTGTCCTATGCAAGACATACTTCCTGTTTCTTCCCTGTGAAGGACATACTTCCTCATCTCCCCTGTGCAGGACACACTTCCTGTGTCTCCCCTGTGCAGAACACATTTTCTTTTCCTCTCTTGTGCAAGACATACTTGTTACTCTTCTGAGAAGGACACACTTCCTGCTGTTCCTCTATGCATGACACAGTTCTGGTGTCCCCCCTGTGCACAACACATTCTTTGTGTCTCCCCTTGGCAGAGCACACTTCCTGTGTCTCCGCATTACAGTACAGACTTTCTGTTCCTGTCCTGTGCAAGACACACTCCTTGTTACTTTTCTGAGAAAGACACACTCTGTGTTCTTCCCTTGTGCATGACACACTTCTTGCGTCTCTCCTGTGCATTACACACTTCTTGTTCTTGTCCTGTGCAAGACCACTTCTTGCTACTCTCCTAAGACACACTTCCTGTTATTCCCCTGTGCATGAGACACTTTTTGTGTCTCCATTGTGCATGACACACTTCCTGTTTCTCCCCTGTGAAGGACACACTTTCTGTTCCTGTCCTGTGCAGGACACACTTCTTATTACTGTCCTGAGACAGACACATTTCTTTTTTTTTTTTTTTGGTTGTTGTTGCTGTTTTTAGATTTCTCTGCCACTCAGGCTGGAGTGCAGTAGTGCAATCTTGGTTCACTGGAACCTCCACTTTCTGGATTCAAGAGATTCTCCTACATCAGTCTCCTGAGTAGCTGGGATTACAGGCGTGTACCACCACGCCTGGCTAATTTTTGTATTTTAGTAGAGATGGTGTTTCACCATTTGGTTAGGCTAGTCTCGAACTCCAGACCTCATGATCTGCCTGCTTTAGACTTCCAAAGTGTTTGGATTACAGGCGTGAGCCTCCACGCCGGGCCCATACACACTTCTTGCTCTTCCTCTGTGCAGGACACACTTCCTGTTACTCTCCTGAGACAGACGTACTTCCTGTCTTCCTCTGTGCAGGACACACTTCCTGTGTTTCTCCTGTGCTGGACACATTTCCTGCTACTCTCCTAAGACAGACATATTTTCTGTTCCTCCCCTGTGCAAGACACACTTTCTATTCTTCCCCTGTGTAGTACACACTTCCTGTTTTTCTTCTGTGAAGGACACGCCTCTTCTTTCAGCTCTGTGAATGACACACTTTCTGTGCCTCCCCTATGCAGCACACACTTTCTATTGCTCCTCTGTGTAGGACACACTTCCTGCTTCTTTTCTGTGAAGAACACGCTTCTTGTGTCTCCCCTGTACAGGACACATCTTCTGTTTATCCTCTGTACAGGACACACTTCCTGTTTCTTTTCTGTGCAGAACACACTTCTTGTGTCTCCCCTGTACAGGACACACCTTCTGTTTATCCTCTGTGCAGGACACACTTTTTGTTCGTCCCCTGTGTGAGACATACTTCCTGTGTCTCCTTTTAGCAGGACACACTTCCTGTTCTTCCCTTGTGAAGCACACACTTTCTGTTCTTCCCCTGTGTAGGCCACACTTCTTGTTAATCTCCCAAGGCTGACACACTTCCAGTTCCTCCCCTGTGCAGGACTCATTTCCTGTTTCTCCCCTGTGCAGGACAAACTTCCTGTTCCTCCCCTGTGTGAGACACACTTCCTGTGTCTCTTCTTTGCAGGACACACTCCCTGTTCCTACCCTGTGCAGCACACACTTTCTATTTCTATCCTGTGCAGGACACACTTCTTGTTACTCTTCTGAGACAGACATACTTCCTTTTTCACCCTTGTCTTTTTCTTTTTTCTCTGTCCTTTCTTTCCTTCTATTTTTTCTTTTTTTCTGCTTTCTTTCTTTGTCTCCTTCTTTCCTTCCATTCTTTTTCTCTTTCTTTCTTTCTTTTTTTCTCCCTTTCCTTTCTTTGTTTTTTTTTTTTTTGCTTGTTTCTTTCTTTCTTTTCTTTGTTTCTTTCTTTTCTTTGCTCCTCCTCCTCCTGCTCCTTCTTCTTCTTCCTGCTCCTCTTCTTCTTTTGTAGAGTCAGGGTCTCACTATGTTGCCCAGGCTGATCTTGAACTCCTGGGCTCAAACAATCCTCCTGCCTTGGCCTCCCAAAGTGCTGGCATTATATAGGTGGGAGCAAACGTGCCTGGCCCATCCTTTTTATCAATATTTGTAGCCACAGATAATTATTTCAAAACAATTAAGTAATATTTCTCTTAAAAAAATGTTTGTCTTCCTTCTCCACCTCCCCAAATATGCACATAGTTTCCTGTTAAGATCCACTCAGAGTGGTTGGCAAAATATTAAGGGAATAATTAGGGAAGTTATAGGATAATAGTCTCAAACCTTTTGGAAGGCCGAAAGATTTTTATTAAATAATGGGACAGGCTGAAGGCAGCTGGTCCTTATCTTAGAGCATTAGGTCATAGGGTGAAGATTAGGGATAACAGAAACTTCCCCAGTTAAGTCTGTTTACCCCACATTCCTTTGTCTCTAACTGTTTACTCATGTAAACTTTATGCCAGATGGCCCTCTTGGGGAGGTCGAAGGGGGATTACCCATTAAGGGCGTTTACTTTGGGCCCTGGAACCAAAAGCTTTTATCATTTGTAAAACCACTATTTTAACCATGTTAATTATCCACAAGCATGTTGACTTAGAACCTCTGTTACTAAATCTATACTGAATAAATGCAAGAAGAAACAGCTAGCAAGGGGTTGGGTAACTGCAATCGCCCTCTGAGAACAGCTGATGACTTCCCTAGCCCATTTGATCACTGTGCTGTGTGTTTGGGTGTATTTATTCACCCGCCACTGAGTCAGGGTCTGCAGAACAGACCTCCACAGGTGGTATCAACGTCTCAGTTTCCTACGGCGTGTGAATTTCCATTGCAATGCTACATTCCCAAACAAATATATTTTCTTTTACAGAGTCTTTCTCTGTTATTTAGGGTGACACCAGTTTATTTCAACACACTTAAATATTAAACCTTTAGACATTTTTGTTTTCAATTGATGGCTTCATTTAAATCAGCATAACCTGTTTGTCAGGAAATCCTGGTTAACAACTGTAGAAATCTATAAAGGTGGTGTTTGTAAGTTTTATTGCCAATGTAAAATGAGGAAACTGAGGCAAGTATGAGAAAATGAGAAGCCAATTTATTCAGCTCCCGGGCGAGGTTCTGTGGTACAGGAAGGGGCCAAAGAAGTCGCACCTGGCTGTTTAGGTCATGGGGTTTTATGGGAAGGGAAGGCGATTGATTGGCTACTGGGGAAACAAAGCAAAGGCAATTTTATTGGCTGTCAGGAAGCAGGAAGTGCCTGAAACTAGTTGCTATTAGTAGGCGGGTGGGACTTTGGGTAAGTGGGTCTTGATTGGCTGTTGGGGAAACAAAGTGAAGGCAATCTTATTGGCTATTAAGAAGCAGGAAATGCCTGGAGCTAGTGGTTATGGGTAGGCGGGTGGGACCTTGGGTAAGCAGGCCTTCCGGGGGCATACAGAGCAGACTGCTACTGGACAGGGTCTGATGGGGCTTCCTTTAAAAAATTTTTCTGCAGGGTTTATCAACAGTGGGCTGGGGGTTGAATGCATAATTTAGTGCTGAATGTGGGCTTGGGTCTGGTATGCAGAGGTGGGTGCGGGGAAGCCCTGCGGCAAGGCCAGGTAATGAGCTTGGGTGATGACGCAGTTATCAGGGGCGGAGAGAGATGGATGTGTCCATTTAACCCTCTGTGAGGCAGCCGGCCTTACAGTGTTCAAAGTTATTAATAAAGTTAAGAAAATGTCCAAGAATGATTGACTTTTACACACTTTGGTAAAAGAAAACTCTCCAGAAAAAAAAAGTTTTAAGACATTTTGTTGCCTATTTGATGTGTGTGTCTCAATACTGATTCTTTTGCATAATAAAGTTTAATTCTTAACTAATAAAAGTGGAAAGAATTATCATGGGATTTATCAACATACTGTGCTGGGATTTTTTTCTGTCTTTACAGCATTTAGATGATAAGAAGCTTAAAGAAACCAACAAAAATAAATGTCTCTCTTTTGTAAGTGATTAAAGAAAAACCACACGCACCATGATGATATGATTTAAAGCATTTGGAACCTACAATTCATACTGGATCATTAATCCACTCGCAATGAATATGAACAAGGTCATTTTTTTTTAGGATGAGATTAATGAGCTGGAAAAGAAATGACTTTGAGGCCAGAGTACAATTCAATCAATCTAATTAGAAAAGTTTTGAAACAACTTTTATTTCTAGTCTTTGGAGACTAACAGGATGACTTGCATGGATTTCCTGGCTAAAATGTTGGCAGTGCAGGGGATCTGGATAGCAGAAATGACAGAATCTAAGAGCACATTAGTTAACAGTCTTTAGTATTGAAACCCCAGTCTGTGTTGAGAATCCAAAATG